ATTTTACCACATGGTTTTATCCAGTCTCTAGGCCACAGTAGCTCAGTTGTAAAATATTTTGCTGAACTGTTGATAGTACAATCAATGTTATTGGAAGTTCAGATGCAGATCAATTCAATTCATTTCAGTTGAAAACTCCCCATTCATGCCTTCCCACTTGAGGTAGGGATGGCTGGATCACCCTGTTTCATTACAGTCATTTTCATCTGTGTTGATACATGCTATTCTCTTCCTGCATCACTCCATTTATGTAGAAGTTACATAGAAAATGTGGTTTTTAAGCAGATTTATTATTTAAATATGCACACAAAGAATTGCATGGCAAAATTGGCATAGCATCCCAAGAGGTATGGATCAGATTTTTTCAGATTTTCAGAAACACCAGTTCTTTGAACACCCCCGGGGTCTCTTTAAGAAGTGGCGCTTTCTTCTGGATAAATCAACAGAATTTTGTGCAGCCAGCATATCACTTCACAATCTAACTAGATATCTTAATAGTTCAGACTTTGCTACTTCTGGTCATAAAAAAAAAAAAAAAATAAGCATTTGCTTCTTCATATTGTAGGTCAATGGAAATGGCTCAGTCCAGCAATCTGAAATCTAAAACCAACCATCTTTCTCAGCGTCACTTATCCAGTTCTGGATGACCCTTGGGGTAGGACAGGTTTTTAAATAGAATATTCCCATAACCTTTGCAGCACAGCAGCTTTTGGAACCCAGTAGTATTTCATAATTAAAAAAAAAACAAACCCTTCACCCTCTCCTTTTTGACCACTACATTTAAATTAAACTACAAAAGAAAAGGAAGTTTAAGGATGGGCAGGAGCTTATTATGGGAAAAAGCAGGCCTTTAATGATCCAAGAACCAAGTGCCTGGTATTTCCATTTTAAAAAACAGCATATTTCTACCATATCTATACAAGTTCCTGCAAGTTACACCCTCATCCTTTTTCAGTGATCCCTATAATTCTGAAATTGGGGCAATTGTCCCTTAAATTAATTCAGAGCTCAGTCATTGTTCTTCAGTGCATGGAATTCACATTATCTTTTCCTCCAAAACAGAGAGATTTGTATGTGGGGACCAGGACAACCTACACTAACTGATCCCTTTTGACTGCAACTCATTATTCCAACCTCTGCCTGTCTGCAAACTGCCAAAGATTAAATGAAAACTATGTTTTTTAAAATATTCATTCATGCATGCATTATCTAAGCAATACTTGTATCATGGGGATACATAATTAGACATTTTGAAAGTATCCAATTCTCTGTATTTAAAAAAAAAAAAAGGGTTCAAAGCAACATGTCATGGAGAATTGACATACTACAGATCTTAAATCCAAACCATGCTTCTGACAGCAGTATATACACAAACTATTACAAAGTAGATTATTTCTGTCTATACCAACAACAAGCAAGCCAGGGTACTCTATCCTTTTTGCCTTTATCATGTGCTCAGAGAAGTTATAATCTTAATAGAAGGAAAATGTCATATGTGCAGAACTTTAGAATAACAAATAAGCTATCCCTTTATGTGTTTGTTTAACACTCTGCTTTTCCATCAAGAAAGATGTTGCATATAGTTCTTCTTGTCCATGTTATCATCACAACCTTACAAAGAAAGATAAGAAGGGATAATGATCACCTCAGGATCCCTTGAAAGATGACAAATTCCCTGTTGTCAGAAAAATTATGGAGCATTCTTATTTAACTTTATAGCAGAATCAAAAGGTGTTCTTGAAGAGGTCCAAGCCCTACTAAATAAAACTGAAATTGACTTACAGGTGGATTTAAAAATTACAGCCTATAAGAAACGGATGGAAATAATGGGTTTACAAATGAAATTGGATGATGATTTAGAAATTAAAAAAAGATATACAAATAATAAATCAGAAGAGCGATGTGGATTATTTTTTTTCTATTGCATTCATAGAATGGATTTTTTTATATATTGGAATAACAAAAATGGCCTGACAAAGATGACAAGAACTTTGAGAGAAGAGACAAAGAGAGTCTGAGAAAGCAGATGTTAGAACTTTCTTTGAAGAATTTAAAGATTGTTTAGAGAAAGAAGAAAGAATACAAAATCGGTTTATTTGATCAAGGTTAAAATAATGGGTTGCTATTTCTGGTGATGTTTAATGTTTTTTTTTTTTAATTGGGACTGGATAATGTTGGTTATTTTTGGTAATGTTTTTTGATTAGGACTGGAATTTGATTATTTGAAGAGAGAAAATGGGGCGATCTGTTTAAATGGAAATGGAAATAAAATATAAAAGGAAGGATTCAAATCAAGTATAATAGATATAGTTTGTAATATTTATGTTGTTATTTCTGATCATCCTTACTGGACTTTTGCTGATTAATACAGAGAGATGAGGGTTTAGAGATGGACTTATAGAGAATGGGGTGAGGTATGGAATGAAGAAGTGTTGGTTATATTCTAAGAGATAGTTGTTAATGTTGATTATACTTGTTTCAGGGAACCCTGAGATGATCATTATCCCTTCTTATCTTTTTTTGTAAGGTTATGGTGATACAGGAGAGGTTTCTTTTTCTACATTTTTCTTTCTTTTTTCTTTTTCCTTTTTCTACATTTCTTAATTTTTTTAATGTATCTCTGTACTATGTAGTTGTATTAATTTTATCTATATAATCTTTCATAAAATTATTGGAAAAAGAAAAAGAAAAATGATGGAGCATTCTTTAGAAATTTGTTGCAGGCCCTTCGCTGCTTTTTTACAAAGTTATTTAGGGCCAAAGAACAAGAGAATAAGAGTCTTCAACAGATGAAGGGCTTTATTTTAACTAGGATGTGACTCTTCAACATGGCACCGACTTTATTTTAACCATATGTGCCCATATTATTGATCTGGTGGTCCAGAATGTGGGTTAATGTAGTTCTTATTCCCCCAATAAACAGAATCAGACCTGGTTAGTGCTTGGCTAGAAGATCTCCTGGAAATTTCAGGACTGAAATCTAGACTGGAAAGGTAAAAAATAATCCCAGAAGGCAACGATAAATTACTTCAATTGTTGAATCTACTTGATGTGTCCATTAGGTCCCCCAGACTGAATGAAACTTACAGACCCTTTAACCCTAGAGTAAAGGTTATATTTCTTCTATATTCTTGCCCAGCATCGAGCATACCAGGAAAATGCTACATATAAGTACAATGACCATATGTCCTCTATTATAAAGGACAGTCCTTTATTTCAAAAAGCTGTCCTTTAGATTTATTTTTCAAAAACTCATTTTTGTCCATTCTTTGGGCATTTAATTTTTACTGTACAAATGGTACCACTTAATCCACAGCCTTTCACATCTATGTGAAAAATACGGAAAATGAATTTTTTAAAAATAAATCTACATATATTGTTTGATTTTAGATATTTTTATTAGAATATGCATTTTTGTAACGTTTTCCTTGGTTTTGCTCTTTTGAGTTTTCTTTTGTAAAGCAAAGTCATAAACAACTTTCCCTCAATTTCAACCCTCACTGGCCATGTAATAAGAATCTCTACTGCAGAAATATTGTAAGATTGACTCACTGCATTTGCCCCTAATTATTCTACTGCAGTCTCTCTCCATTCGTCCCACTGCTTCCCCAAATCCTTTTCTCCCCTAAGTTGTAGGGAGACTCGTTGCAAATAGATGACCTGGGTCCGCTCACACCCAAAGTGTATTTGCAAAGGCTACATCGAAATATTAGGGGTTATGTCAGGACCCGAACCAGAACCAGCGAACCACGTTTTAGCCCAGCCTGCCGTGCAAACTCAGTTTGATTCGTTTTCAATTCAGTCTGTCGTGCAAACGCAGGACACGAGTTAATTCTACAAGCCCTACGTAAACACGCCGCGGATGACCATAAACGCTGGGATTCTTGTCCAAAGGAAGTGTAGGCACCCCTGTCATCGTGTGAACTTAATTACAACTTTTGCAAAGAGGGAAGCAGTGCAGAGCCGCAATACATGATTTGGTGGAACCCACATACGATATGAAGGAGACAGCGAAAAGCATAACCTGCGGCTCTCCCTTGCATGCGCCTCTCACCCACACTTCTTGCGGCCCCGCCCCAGAAACAGCGCAAACCCCGCCCCTCCTCGACAAAGTGCTCTGATAGGCCCCAAAGCTAGAAGAAGGCGGGCCATCTGGGAGAAAATGC